CGTCCAACCTGGCCTTGAACGTCTCCAGGGATGGAGCATCCACCACCTCTCTGGGCAACCTGTTCCAGAGCATCCCTCACCCCTCTCCTTTTTCCGCGCTGGGCTCCTGGAGGATCCTTCTCTGCTGTGCCAGTGGAGGGAGCTCGGGATCTAGGAATGGCTGCACTTTCAAGCAATCAAAATACTTTTAATAATGTGAGGTTAGTAACGAGTACCCACAGTTTTTTGTAAGGTTAGATACGCCGAATCGTTGCCTGTCTTTCTGCGTTTTCCTCCTGGTTGCTTTCTTCATTGAATTTCTTCAAGAATTGTTATTTCTTGAGAAGATTTTTCAGTTGTGATTTATCGTGAGCTCGCTGGCTTTGTAAGCTTTCAGGAGGTGCTGAAATGACAATAATTCTTCTGGATATAATCTTAAAAACTAGAAATATCGTCAAACCCGTGGCATGACTTTGGTTTAAGAATCCTGGACAATTAAAAGTAAAGATAAGGCAAAATAGGGTTTTCTTAAAGCTTTTTGCTCTTTCCTCTCCAGGTCACAAGCAGAGCATCCTGTAGATTTATTTGCTGCAAGAAAATAGTACAATTGACATGAAGAAACGTTTTAAATTATTGACAGCCCAGATGAATGAGCCCAAAATTGTGTTTCCCCCTCGTAGCTCTTGGGTGCACTTTTATAATATCCCATATAGCACAGAGAAACGATTACAGTTTGGAATGTGAATGGTTTCAGGGGTTGTTGCCCATAAGTTCTGTCTCTGCCACGTTTTGGGGTGTTCACTTCCTCCCTGGCATCTGCTGGAAGGACCGTGAGCCCTTTCTGAATTTAATTTTTCAGAGGAAGGTGGAGGAAGAACAGAAATCCTTATCCCAACCTGCCCGGTCACAAACCTCCCCTTCCTAAATAAACAGAAAATTTGACAAAAGAACTGCAGGGAAATATATAATTTCAAAATATCCTCTATTTTAATGGACTTGGTGCTGCCAACAGCCAGCAGACCCTCGTGCCATGGTGTGCCTGGTATTGTCCACCTGTGTTGGAGCTGGGATGGAGATTCTTTCGTTGCTGTCGGAGCGTTTGGCCATGGAAACGGGGCTCCTGCAACACCTTTCCTAGATTTTTTTTTTTTTTCCCTTCAAAGAACTTCATGCACGTTAAACGTGACTGAATCTTGACAGTTACCTTTGCATTTAAATCACTGGACGTGATTGCAGCCCCATGGTTGTGTCGTGGTGGTGGTGCTCACCACGCCACGAACCACCATGGTGGTGTTCACCACGCCACGAACCACCATGGTGGTGTTCACCACGCCACGAACCACCATGGTGGTGTTCACCACGCCACGAACCACCATGGTGGTGTTCACCACGCCACGAACCACCATGGTGGTGTTCACCACGCCACGAACCACCATGGTGGTGTTCACCACGCCACGAACCACCATGGTGGTGTTCACCACGCCACGAACCACCATGGTGGTGTTCACCACGCCATGAACCACCATGGTGGTGTTCACCACACCATGAACCACCATGGTGGTGACACGCGTTCGGACGCTCCGGTTGATAGTAAGTGGGTCCAGCACCTGCTTCTGCGAGGCTTTCCTGCCTAATCCAGCACGGGAGTACCCTCAGGATGCACCTAAGAGGAGACAGAAAGTATCTGGTAGCAGTCCATCTCTCCTAAAACCACCTTCAGCCTTAATTCCCATCCATTGATTCCTCTGCCAGTTAAAGCTGGAGAACTTAATTTGTCTTTTAATCCTTTTATTGTAAGCTAGGAGAAAATTAATTTTAGCCAAGAACTGCGCAAAGCCAATTTGTCGCAAGAAAACCCAACCGGGTGGACGCGATGGGTTTCTCCGGCGGCGCGTGGACGTGGAAGTGTGTTATTTTTCCAGCGAAAACGTGGAATATTTTTTTTTTTGTCCTTTCACCGGTGCAGCTTCTGTTTTCCACCCAGAGCTCTTTGGGGTTATTAATTTTCTGCCTGTGATAGGGTGATCAACCGTCCTGTCAAGAAAATGGATCTCTGTGTCACCCCTTAGCATGATTAAAGGGAGGCACGTCGCGGTGAGAAAATACCAAATTTTCGTCAGACAAATGAAACTGTAGAAAGGACTCTTTGGATAGGCATTATTTCATTTTGAAATCTCCCAAATGGCTGTCAGCTTATTTGTAGAAAATCATTGCAATTAATTGTGTGTTTCCTCTAGTAATTATGAAAAAAAAAGGCAAAAAATATTGAAAATGTGGTTTGTTTGTTTTTTTTTTTTCCCCTCTCATCAAGAGGATTTGCAGGAAGGATGTTGCTGGGGGAAGAGTTGAGATTTGGAACTAGATGATCTTGAAGGTCCCTTCCAACCCAAACCATTCTGAGATTTTTGTCGTTTGAGGTTGGTTTTGGTTTGGTGTGGTGGTTTGGTTTTTTTTTTTTTAGTTTCTTAGGTTTGGGGTTTTTTTTTGAGGTAGAAAATGAAAATCTTTCTGTAGAGAAAGACTCTCCTCCACCAGATTGCTGCTGATGAAACGCTCGGAGAAGATTTCCCACCCTCTTCTGGTTGGAATTGATTGTTTGGGTAACAAAGAGTTATCTCCTCGACATCTGGGCGCTGGAGGCGCGGGGTCAGCGGGAGGAATTAGCTCCGCTGCGAGTCCGCGCCGCTCCGCACCCGGGAGTTTTCCCACTGGATCCAGTATTCATTGCAGCCAAACTGACCCATCGCGCGCTGGGCAAGGACAGCGCTTGGCTCCGTCCGGTGGGTGATGGAGCTCATGGGGATGATGGTATCTGCTGGTTTAAGTGGCAAGGTGATGGTTCTGTCGAGCCCGGCGTTCGCGGGATGCTCCGAAATCCCTTCCTTCGGGATCTAACGAAGGGTTAAGCTCATATTGCTGTAATCAAATGAAAGGCGGGCGGGGGGGCAGAGCGCGGCACCGCGTGCCCCCGCCGTTTAATTTCCTACTGGAAGCAGCACATGT